CTTGCTCTGTGACCAAATCTGCTGAGGAAACTAACAGCACTGGTTAGTAATATTTAGCAATACTTATTAAATTGACGTTGTTTTTTCTTTACAAAAAATACTTGAATCTGATATTATTTTTAGATTCAGATTTTCCTCAGCAAGAAGAATTTCCAGATGATTTTCAAAGATTAGAATTACACGAAGACACTTCAGTCCAATTTCAAGAGCCATGTCAGGCAAATTTGCCAAACGAAACTTTATCAGATGATGTTAGTTCAGAAGAAGCGTATAACCCAGATGACGAATCTTCCAGTTCATCAGAAGATAGCAGTTCCACTGATGGTCCCACAACTAGCTCAAGGAAAAGAAAAAGTCTTTCGCGAAATGATTATATCAGCAATGTTAAAAGACCAAAAAATATCACTACTGCTTCCAAAGAACACTTGAAGAATAACAAAAAACAGAGAAAAGCAAAAAAGACCCTTAAAAATGAAACACGAACAGTAAGAGAAGAAAGAAAGAGAAACAGAAACCTAGGTTTGGAATATACAACAAAAAAGGGAAAATTGATAAGAGCTAGGGTCTGCAGGCCATTGTCCAAATGCAAACTTAATTGTCAAGATAAAATAGACCATGAAAAGAGACAGACAATTTTTTCTGAATACTGGCAGATGAAAAGCTTTAATAAACGTGTTGCTTTTATTGCTTCTTTGATAAGAACAGAACCCAAAAAATGTGCAAAACGCAAAACAGAACATATTTCGAAACAAAAAAACAGATTGGTACCACATATATTTCATTTGCCCTATAATGGAGAGCAACTAAGAGTTTGCAAGCAATGCTTCTTAAAAACTTTTGATGAATCAAACCGATTTGTCACTAATGTTTTAAAAAATAAGGCAGAATCCAGTTCTGGTGTCTGTCGTGATGATAAAAGGGGCATGTCCTCTTCCGCAAACAAGATTCCTGATGCTGATTTGCAATTAGTAAAAGAACATATTAATTCAATACCTTCGTACGAAAGTCACTACTCCAGAAAAAAAACAGGAGATAAAAGATATCTTCCGCACTTTTACACTCTGGCTTCTCTTTACAGGGAATATGTTAATTGGCTTCCAGAGGGAAGACGGATTGTATCAAGATTTGTTTACGAAAGGGTCTTTTATTCCATGGGTTTGAAAATAAAGTTATTGAAAAAAGATACGTGTGCCAAGTGTGACAAATTTAATATGCTTATAAAAGCAAACAGTGACGAAGCAAAAACGAATTTGGAATCTGAATTAAGTAAGCATCAAAAAGAAGCTGAGGCTGGTTTTGAGGCAAAACGCATTGATAAAGAATATGCTTTAAACGATAAAACAAAAGAAGTCTTCAGTTTTGACCTTCAGCAATGCCTACCTACTCCAGACATTAAAACATCTGTGGCTTTTTATAAGAGGCAACTCTGGACATTCAACCTAACAGTTCATAGGTGTAGGGACCAACAAGCCTTTTGTTACATGTGGCACGAAGCAGTAGCAGCTAGAGGAGCCAATCAAATAGCTTCCTGCTTATTTAAGCACCTGAGACTTATTCCTGCAAGCATTAAGGAAATAACATTTTATTCCGATACATGTGCAGGACAAAACAAAAACTGCTTTGTGTCCATAATGTTCATGCTTGCTTTACAGGAGTTTCCTAACATTGAGAAAATTAACCACAAATTTCTTACCCCTCGGCATACGCACATGGAATGTGATAATGATCATTCCATTATTGAAAAGAAGAAAAAAAAATATCCATGTCCTATTGAACATCCAAGAGACTGGGTAAATCTTGTTCGTGTATGTGGTGTGAAAAAACCTTTCGAAGTCATTGAAATGTCCCGCAATCATTTCTTTGAATATTCTGCATTACTTAAAACGTTTCTTCAACAAAGAAAAGTTAATGAAGATGGCCAAAAAGTAGTATGGAAAGACATCAAATGGCTATGTTATTCCAAAGAACCGGGCATTATACTTTATAAAACATCCCTTGATGAAGAAGAAACATTTCGGAAATTGAGCTTTTTGCGAAAAGGGAAAACTTGGCCAAAAAAATTTAAAGTTCCTGAGACTTATAAAGGTGCAAACCCCATAAGTAGAGAGAAAAAAAATAATCTCATTGAAATGCTACCCTATGTTAGCGAAACATTCCATGAGTTTTATAAAAACCTAATCACAACAGCTGATGTTAGAGACGTTCTACCCGACGAATCAGATGACTCAGAGGAAGATTAGTTTTTAATAATAGTTCAGAAAATGTATCTTTCTTTGCCTACTTATATTTTTCTATATGCATATTTCAAGATTAAAACTGAATAAAATTTTGTGAAAAGAGGTATATGTAATTTTTTTTTCAAAAAAAATTCAAAATCTGGCCATTTTTTATAATTTGACAAAAATAAGATATTACCTACAAAAAAGTTAAACCTTTCATACTTTACTAAAAAAAAGTGCGTGACAGATCAATAGTTTTTATATTGAAATTAAATATTCAAAAGTTAAAAAAACTTAAAAAGCTAATATCTCAAAATCACTATTTTTTATTTATATCCCTGTTCACATACATGAGCCAAATATTAGCGACCATTTATTTAGAATGTGCACAATAAATGCATTGAAACATATAGGTCAGCAAACATTGCAAAATATATATATCGCTTTATACAAGGAGGCGCAAATTGTCAACAACAGAGAAGAAAAATCAAGATTAATTACAAAATATCATGATGATCCCATCACTGGAGGTCACTGTGGACAGAAAAAGTTACTGAAGAAACTAAGATCATGCTACAGATGGAAAGGTATGTCACGCGATGTTGCAAATTATGTGAAAAATTGCCAAAAATGTCAAATGAATAAGATCAAATCAAAAACCAGAGAACCAATGATAATAACACCTACACCTCAAAAAGCATTCGACATAGTATGCATTGATACTATTGGTCCATTTTTAAAAACAGCTAATAATATGCAATACGCAGTTACCATCCAATGCGAGCTATCAAAGTACCTAATTGTAACTCCTATTCCCAACAAAGAAGCTAGGACAGTAGCCAAGGCAATAATGGAGCACTTTATACTCATATATGGTCCCATGAGAGAAATTAGGACAGATTTAGGCACGGAGTACAAAAACGAAATATTTTTTGAACTAAGAAAACTTCTAAAAATACAGCATAATTTTTCAACAGCATACCATAGTCAGACAATAGGTGCATGCGAGAGAAGTCATAGAGTTCTGAACGAGTATATTAGAATGTATATAAATGAAAATTTAACACCGTGGGATAGCTGGTTACCATATTTTTGTTTTTGCTATAATACAACACCGAGTGCATATCACAACTATACCCCATTTGAACTAGTATTTGCGAGAAAACCAGAGATATGCGAAGTACTTTCAAGTTCCACTATAGACCCTATTTACAATATCGATGCGTATTATCAAGAAATAAGATATAGGCTGCAAGTGTCCAATAAACGGGCCGCAGAGTTTATATCTCGGGTCAAACAAAAGCGTAAATCAGTTTACGATCAGCAGGCCAGAGAATAGATGTTAAAGCCAGGAGATTTAGTCGTACTAACTAATGAAAGCCGATCTAAATTTGAGCCGTGGTATAAAGGTCCATATTCGGTCGTTAACTGTGACGGAGTTAACTGTCAAATTAAAAATGTCAATAATGGAAAAGAAAGTTAAACCGATTGCGAATTTTTAATATTTAAATTTGTACTCATTTTATTCGGTTATTAGGCCAAAAATGTGCCGACAAACATTTGAAAGTGTAAACAATGCATGTCTCCATGCAACGACTTTATTATATTAAAATTTTATTATCTTATGTAATTAACATTATGCTGATCAGCAACTCTAACTATAAACGCGCGTAACATAGGTATAGAAAGGTATGAATGTGTGTATGTAAACAAAAGCTCTCTGTTATTAAATTATCGAATAAGTTTATTGTATATGTGTATAATTAATTTTTAATAGGTTACTTACTTGCGAAAATTCAGTAAATGATAACATTAGTCGAAATACTATAACAATTATTTTAATTTATTTTATTTGCTATTGGTGTCAAATTTATTCAAGTTTAAATTTTATTTTTTAGGCTTAATTAAATTGCAAAACAATTCTAACCCAGAAGAATGAACTTCATTTTAGCTAACAAAAATGTAGTCCATTCCTCCAGAAGAGGGAGATGTAGTGCAGTTTAATATTAACACTAGGTATATTCATATTATTATTATTATCATAACATCATAATCAGGTCACCTCCATTTCACGTCATTAGTATTACCAAACTATGTAAACCATATTGTAACCATTATTCAGATCCAATATAACGTTCAAACCAATAACATCCGTTGTGTTTTATTAAGGATCATACACCGTGGACGAAGCATTAAACTCAGCTGTGATTCTATCCCAGGCAGCATTCTTCTCAGTATTTGTATTTTTATCTGTTTCTTTGTTTTCAATAATGGTTTTGTATTTGGATATTATATCAATGAGATGTGATTTTTCATTTTGTGAAAAATTTGACGTTCGCACCCGTATCGCACTTGTGGAGGTTGAATCCATTTTTACTTATGAGCACTTTTTTTCGTTAAACTGCAGCAAAAACCGCAAAAACTCACAAAAACAGAAAAAAAAAACGGCGACCGGCAAAAAAATTATGTACGAAAATAATTCCTCTAACCTCAAAATAAATCTGACTGAAGTTAGGTGTTAGTACCAACCGATTTTAATTTGACAAAAATTCCCCAAATTGATAAGTTTATTTTAACCAAGTACCCTTAAATTACCGTGCAAGTGATTGCAATTTAATCAATTGTTTAAATTTTAACAATGTGTTATTTTCAACAGTGGGTTAGCGAATACGGTGCAAGTGGGCATTAAAGAACCTCATTTTAATCCAGTTTTTACTGTGAGTAGTACGGGTGCCATAAAAAGGCAACGAGATGAATTTTCTGAACAAGAAAACCATGAAAATGGTACAAAAAAGACTGAAAATTCAGCATCAAAAAAATGTAAGGATAGGCACCTATATTGTGTTTTGTTCTAAAGTGTAATTTTTCTAGGTATTTTAATGCCTCATAAATACATATTTTTATGAAAATCTGGTTTTATTAAATTTTTCATGGTTCCATACTATTTGGGTAATTTATATTTTGTTTCAGCTGCCGCCAGTGTTAAGACAGATGAATATTCTAAAAAGGAAATTGGAGACCGAAAACAAAAAAGACACGAGGAGAGGATGAAGCAAAAGGAAGAGATGTTTGAATGGTTCAAACAAAACTTTAAGAAAGAATAGCAAGCTATTTTTATATTTGTTTCCTTATGTTAGTTAAGATTTTTTTTTTTGTAATTAGAATAATTATGATTTGTTTCTATTTTGGAGTTCCTGATATTTGTTTCCTTATGTTAGTTAAGATTTTTTTTTTTTTGTAATTAGAATAATTATGATTTTGTTTCTGGTGAAATTATAAAATAGATGGTAGAACAATAAAAACAAATTATAAGTTGAAAACAAAATTGTATGTTTATTGTGTTAAATACATATACTTCATTATGAGAAGTCATAACATTTGAGAAGGCATATTTCTTTTAGCGACTCCTAGTCTTTGTAGGTTTACTTCTCCAACACCTCGAGGTGGAACTTGGATATTATCAGGTTCATTTTCAAATTGGTCCACTGCAATAACATCGTTTTGTAATATGCATATACAGGGTGTCCCACTAAGGTCGGCCAGGTACGATATTATGGAGACCATAGACCTCACGTAACTTGAAAACGAATGCAGATATTGAATTGCGGTTTGCGCCAAAATGTAGATATTTTTTTGCTCTTTAAGCACAGCAATACAAAAATAATATTATGCCATTTGGATTTTTCATGAAAATTAGGAAAAACTGGATCTTGAATAAACAGCGCCCTCTAGCAGACGCGGTGGGAACTGTCGACCTCGAACGAAGTGGTGTTCTTAATAACAATGAAATTCTTTTCCAAATAAACCCAAATTGAATGAGTTTGAATGAGGGGTATGGAAGATACAGCAATTTCTAAAAAAAAAAAAATCACCAGCTTCTCCCACCCTTATTACTGAAGATACGAAAAAAAGCCTAATAATCAAAGTGGCGCAAAAATTAATGAACTTTTGATTTATGTTGTTAAAACAGTATCTTAATATAGCGATTTCTTGAGAAAAGTTGAATTTTTAGCTATATCATCGTAATTGCGCCGCCTAGCGGTCATCCTAGAAACTTGAAAATAATTTCCATCAATTTCTCTTGGCCGATTTAGTGAAGAAAAAAAAAATCCCAAAGCCGTAAGGTCTATGGTTTCCATAATATCGTACCTGGCCGACCTTAGTGGGACACCTGGTATTATGTAGTACACAGCAAGCCATAATATATTTGCATGCCCATTCAATATCTTTTATGTCAAAATATTTAGAGCAACGAAACCTTTGTTTCAATAGGGCAAATGCTTTTTCTATAGAACACCTTACTCGGGATAGTTGAAAATTAAAATTTCTTTGTACATCGTTTAGGTTACCATTATCCTTATATGGTACCATCAATGTGGCCAAACAGGGATATGCTTTGTCTCCTACTAAATGAGTGTTTTCAGGAATTTTTTCCTCTTGAAGCCGAGTGAGGTATTGAAATACTTCACTTCTCTTTAAAACATTGGCATCATGGGTTGAACCGACCTCTCCCACATAACAGTGAGTGAACATCATCTTATTATCACACACTCACTAAAAAATATAGTAGATTTGAAGATTACCATAATTTAATTAAATACATTTTTAAAACTTACCTGAAGAATAAGGGCTGCAAAATTTTTTCTGCATATATAGGAGAGTCCATTTTCTGTTGGAGTAGGTATGGGTATATAGCATCCATCTATGCAAACTATAGTATTAGGGAAACCCATTTGTAGAAAATAGTTTTTGATGGTATGGAGTGTATTGGCCACTGGCCATCTTATAAATGTTGGAGCTAAGCCTATGAGAAGTACTGTTACTTGTCGAACCACTCTTAAACTAGTTGCTTTCCCTATATTAAAACGACTGCAAATGGACCTAAAAATGAAACAAAACTTATTACTACAAATAAACTATCTTACCTAAATGAAAATAAATTGATTACCTATATGAGTCAGGGGTTGCCAAATACCATACTGTAAAAAGCAACTGATTTTTTGGTGTTACTGGATGACGACCTCTTCCTTGCTGGTGGGTCAATTGAGGTTCAATTAAGGTTAGGATGTGATCAAATGTAGGCCGAAACATCCTAAAATGTTCTCTAAATTCGTTGTCCGAGTACCTAGCAACTATTTCTGAGACAAAGTTTGTTATTCTTGGACGTAAAACTAAAAAAATAACATCTTTCCTCCAAGACCCTAATTACATTGATGATATGTTAGTTACCTTGGGGTCCTCTTATCTCATGGGGTGGGTCAGCCCCTTCCTCTTCATCATCATCCCCTTACTCTTCAGAACTACTGTTGAGCAGAAGCTCATTAAAAATAAATGCTGCTGCTTGATCCATCGTTTTAAATTACTATATTACTATTTGTACTGCAAAAACAGAATTAGGAGCCTAATATTATTTATTATTTATATTTGCAAACACAACCACAACAAAGCAAAGTGAGCAAAGCACAGTTTTTTAAAACCACCACAACCACAACCGTTCCGTTATTAACCACAAATTTCAGAAATTTTCTGGTTAATAACTGTCATTAATGTCATTTCTTCTGGTTGCAACTAATGAATTTCGGACCATACCCTTAGTGCCGGTACTTTTGCTCTCATTTAACAGTCGTTAAAAATAATCAGGGCTTTGAATGTGCTCTAACCACATCATACTTATAGACCTTGGCCCATGCAAAACTTTGACAACGTATCAAATTCGTTAATCGAGAGCAAAAGTATCTGCCCTTAGTCTATCGATTTTAATCGGTTGCAAGTTAACCATCCGTGAGAAGTGACCAAAATTATGTGGAGATTTTAGAGTTCCTCCGATAGAGTGGACCAGATAGACCTTAGGTGGTTTTAATAAAACTCGAACGCGGTCAGTTTTTGATCGTTTTATTCCAAGATAAACTCGAAACACTTTTTCTACAGCAAAAAACAGATCAACAGCGACGAACAGTAAAATGTTATGATATTAAATTAATTATAACAATGTTGGTTTCTCAACCATGAGGAGGAAGTGCATTGACGCGAAACTTGTTGCGCTCAGTGAATCGGAATCGAATTTTTCAGCCGAATTGACATAAAAATGTTGGGTTATTTCCATTCGTCTATTTTTAGAGGGGCGTTCGATAACATAGGGCTTGTTATGGGCCATTGTTGACGAGCAACAAATGACTCGAATGAGTTATTGAAAATTAAAGAAATCTAAACAATCACTGATTATTTATGTCTGTCTTGCAACGTTAAGAACTGAACGATGTTTAGTTAATCAACGAAGAAACTTGGCAATATTAGTTTTTTTTTTTTTTTTAAATATAGACCGGTTTTTCTCAGTTTTTGATATTTTTGACAAAGTATGACTTTTCTGGGATATGGTTTCAAGGTTTCTAAGAAATTCATAGAGAACAAAAAAATCTCAAATAATAATTATTAGTGATATTATTGTAGTTGACGTTATTCAGTTTGCAGTTTTAATTTTCCTAATTTTCTTATTTATCAATATACAGCCCATAGATCCTCAAGGGAAAAAAAGGCAAAGGTGCAATACTTTTTCTAGCGAAGAAAAGCTCCTTATTGCAAATGTGTTTTTAAAATACAGGCAGATATTAGAAAATAAAAAGACTGGCCACATTTCGACTGAAGAAAAAAATAAAGTCTGGGAAAAAATCACCAAAGAGGTAAATGCAGCAGCAGTAAATATCTATAATACCAGTAGAACCAATAGAAGTTTTAAAAAGATTTTATGAAAATAGAAAGCGAGAAGTGCGAAAAATTGTTGCAGAGGAGAAAAAGGATAGGGGAATTATGCCTATGATGGCCCACTTCCTATGATGGCCCCTCCGTCGTATTTTTAAGTTTCCCGCGATTTTCGTTTAGCCGGCCATTTTAAAACGTCATCTAACTTCCTTTTAGAGCTGCACATGCAGTATGAAACGGGCGTCGGCAATAGGAAGGTGTCAGTGTGTGAAAATAAAAAAAGGTAGGTCCTGATCTAATAAGTCTGTTGAAAATATTAGTGAATATTTATCTTAAAACAAGTAATTTAGAATTGGATTTTATATCAAATGTTCGCGTGTGTATCGTGTTACAGTTTTTGTATCGAAATTGAGGTTAGAGTGAACATAACATGTGATATGAAATTTAAGCAATCTATATGCACTTATGCCTATGATGGCCCCATGTATTCTCTCCTTTGATGGACCAGGGGGCCATCATAGGAATAATATATTGCTATGTAATTTATATGTAAGACAGTGGGTAATACATTTTGCTTTATTGCTTTAAGATATGACCACCAAAAGACAGCAATGGGATGAAGTGGACATGGAACAAGCCATCAGGAATGTACAGGCAGGAGAAATGGGGTATAAGTTGGCCGCTCAAACATTTAACGTACCCAAAACCACGTTAAGGAGAAGATTGGCCACGAATAAAGGTGCTCTCAAACAGGGACTTGGAGGAAAACGAGCCACTTTTTCCAAAGAAATTGAACAAGAAATTGTTGATCACATCATAGACATGGAATCACGATTTTTTGGTCTTACCAGCACAGATTTACGTAAGTTGGTCTACGAAGTAGCGGAAAGAAATGGCATTGGACACAATTTCAACAAGGAACGCAAAATGGCTGGGTGGAAATGGGTTAAATGTTTTTTAAGACGCAATCCCCGCATATCTTTAAGAAATCCCGAAAGTACTTCGTTAGCTAGGGCTCAGGCTTTTAACAAACCCAACATTCTGGCATATTTCAAGTCATTAGCGTCTATTTGGAACAAACACCAATTTCTCCCGGAGAACATATACAATATGGATGAGTCTGGCTTGACCACAGTCCAGAAGAAGTCGCAAAAAATATATGCCTGTAAAGGTCGCAAACAAGTTGGGGCACTCAGCAGTGCAGAACGCGGTCAGCATGTTACTGTCGTTTGTTCAATGAATGCCATTGGCTCTTACGTTCCTCCTGTGATAATTTTTCCACGTCAAAGAATGAAAGACGAGCTAATGAATGGTGCTCCACCGGGAAGCATTTCGTTTGTACAGGAGAAAGGCTGGATGACCTCCGAACTTTTCTGCAAATGGCTCAAACATTTTGTCAGATACACGAAAGCGTCTCTAGAAAATAAGGTTCTATTACTATTAGATGGTCATAGTAGTCATAAAAGCCTCGAAGCGTTGCAGTACGCAAAACAAAACGGAATTGTAATATTTTGCTTTCCTGCCCACTGTTCCCATCATGTCCAGCCCCTCGATGTGGGATTTTTTCGACCCTTGCAAACTTATTACGGACAAGAAATTCAACTCTGGTTGCGACAGAATCCTGGCAAAACTGTTACGCAGTTCCAAATAGCAGCTTTATTTAGTCGTGCCTATTTAAAAAGCGCCATACCCACAAATGCTATCAACTCCTTCAGGAAAACAGGAATACATCCGTTTAACCCGGAGGTTTTCGAAGATTGGCAGTTTTCACCATCTTTAACAACCGATAAACCTCAAATAACTCAAGAAGATGTCCTTGAACCTGAAAAAAATATTCCATTGCCCAAAAATGTCAAATTACCTTCCAATCAAGGTAACATTGATAAAGACTTTCCATCTTATCAAGAAGAAAATATTATGGTTCAATTGGACAGTTCTGTGTCTTTGCCAGGACCTTCCACTACACAAACTCTCACTAAATCCCCGGTTCTCAATGTATCATTCGAATCAGCTCTTAACATATCGGTCAAAGATATTTGTCCTCCACCTTCAGTCGCTGATATTCAGTCAATGCAACGGAGGGTTAGAAAACGTGGAAAAACAGGAACGTTGAATTCTACACCAGAACTTGATGAGCTCAAAGCAACAGCTGCTCAAAAGGCAGTCAAATTAAGAAAAACTTGTGCAAGAGCAGCGAAACGACAAGTTTTCGTAAATAAGAAGGATCTTGCAAGTGATGACAGTGATGAGGAAAATCAAGCGGTTGTTGACAAATATCTGGAACAAGAAAATTCGGACGACGCCGCATGCCTCTATTGTAATGAACTTTATTCACAATCAAAATCTAGGGAAAAGTGGATTCAGTGTCAAGTCTGTAGCTCTTGGTGCCACAATGATTGTGCGGGAGTTAGCCCTAGGTGCAAGTTGTTTGTTTGTGAACTGTGTCAATGAATGCCTAAAGTAGAATTCATGTTATTCTCCTGTTTGTATTGTTTACTTTTGTGGTTTTTCTATTTTATTTTTTTCTGAGAACTATGTACAATTTATTTTGCTCTAGTCTTTATTTTGGGGTTTGTGTTAAAGAATGTGATCTCTTAGTTTTTTGGTATAAAAGTTTTTCAATAGAATATTAGAAACAAAATGTTCTCTCATTATTTCTCATAAATATTCTCAGTGGTCCAACATAGGAACACTCCGGGGTCCATCAAAGGAATGTATGCTCCTATGATGGACCCCTCAAATTGATTTTTAAAAATGACCGTCAAAAAGTAATTCATGAAACTAATCAAGAATACAATGCAGGTTTTGAAAGCCCTTATCAAGACCCGTAAAATGAACTGAAGTGATCCACAAAAAAATCATAAATATAACAATTATGAGGCATTATTCTTAAGGGGGCCATCATCGGCATACTTCCCCTATACTTGGAACTGGAGGGGGACAAAGCAAACATTTCAAAAAATATGCTTGTCACGATATCATTTTATCCATGATGAATTCCAAAACAGTGTAAGGGCTGGAAAACAAGTGTGATGAAGACTACGAGGAACCCCAGTTAGGTTTACCAGTAAGCAAGATTTTCATATATCTACAAATTAAATATAGACATGTATAGCCGACAGGCAACCTATTGACCATTGTTTGAATTTTATTGGTTCGGGATCAGAATTTGTTCCATCAAAAGGAGAAGGTGAAGTAAATGAGGCAATAGGAACAAGTAGTGAGGAAATACAAGAAGAAGAAACAAGAGAACTTAGGCCAAAAAAGCATATTCGTCACGAGCAGTATTGGAGCCGAGCTGCAAATGCGGGAGAAGAATATACTACAAAATCTGGAAAAACGGTCCCTTCAAAACCTTTCCTACCTTTTGCTTGTGCCCATAAAAATAAATGTAATTATTATGCTTTCCAAAGTTTTGATCTACAAACGTCCTATTTATTTTCATTTGTTAAGTTAAGGTTGTAAACAAACTACGGAAGTATACTGAGAACGAAAACTCTAAGAGAGATAAAACAAGAATCTATTATATACCTGATGCCACTAGAAGAGAAAGAAAGTTCTGCAAATATTTTTTTCAAGCTGTGTTTCAAGTTGTAGCTGGAAAACTGGATAGGCTACTAAAAAATAAATCATACGGTTTACCATCTCTATGCGATAAAAGGAGAAAACACCCACCAGCCAATAAAACAAGCGAGGTACAGAAAAACCAAGTTAGAGAGTTCATTAAGAAGTTCCCAAGTTACGAATCTCACTACGGTAGACCAAAAAGCAATCATGGGAAATACCTTGCACCAGATTTGAGTCTTGGCAAAATGTGAAGTCTGTACAAATCTAAATCAAACAACCCTGTTTCTCATTTTGTTTTTAAAGAAACCTTCAATAAGGAGTTTAACTTACATTTCATATCAGATTCATGCAAGAAATGCGATCTTTTTAATATCAAAATTCAATCAATGAAGTAAAAAAAGGAGCTTAAAGTTGAACGTGAACTTCACCAAAGAAAGGCTAAAAGAGCAAGGAATAGCTTGAAAGAAGACACTGATTTCTCAAAAGGAGACGTTACAGTTATAGTTATATGTTTGACCTTATGAAAACCTTGTCAGCACCTGTTTTAACAACAGGAATCTGTTCTTTGAGGAGGCAGCTCTGAACTTCTTTTCGGTTCATAACCTGGCAAATAATGATTCATAAATGTTTGTATGGAATGAAGATCACAAAGTTTTAATTAAAAAAATGGAAAGGCTTGGAATAAGGGGAAAGGAACTTAAACTTTTTGCTTCATATTCATAACTTGTATGATATTTTTCTTAAATAAAAATAAAAATGTAAACTGATCTATTTCTTTCCCTTATAGCAAAACCCGATATTTTATAACTAAAACAATTATTAGATACTAAAAACGCATCTACTTTAAATAATTGTACAAAAAATACATTCCACTCTGAATCCTTATTTGTTGGTGGTCTTGTTGCGACGTTTTGTTGTTGCTGTTTTCTCATTTTCATCAAATCTAAAATTAAAATAATGTTTCAATTGAATAGTTTATATTATAGTAAACTTACAATTCAACAATTTCAAATATTGCCGTTGGGTTTAGTCCCTGAATATCTTTCATAGACTTGAAAACGAATGCAAATTTCCCGGCCTCGAAATGGTCAAGATTTTGTTTAATCGGTTCGGTTGAACGTTGCGGTAGAAATGTGATACATTTTTCCAGGTCTATTTCTGTCACCGCTCCAAATTTAGAGTTAACAATTGCCATACCAATAATGGGATACAGATGATTTGGGGCTAGGTCCTTCAATTTTAAATAGGGCTTTTCTTCAATACAGGCCGCCTGGTTTATTTGATCTAAATTCATGATTGTCTCTAGAAAATAGAACAACGTATTATTATCAGGGTCTTTAGGAATAATGAAAAAATTACATAGTTTTTCAGCACTAAACACAATTAATTAACTATAAATGAGCCAAGGCCCAACTTTGAATAAAATTTTCGTAGAAAAATTCCAACTGAAGCACTGAAAAAAACGTTGTCACTTAAGGACGCTGGAATAACTAACTAAATTTTCCATTATTCTTAAAGACTCTGATAATAATAAGTTGTTATTTCTAGTTTGATAATATTAAAATCAAACCACTTTGAGGCTTGGACTCTTGAAACATGTTTATGAATTTTGAAATTGTAAGTATATTATTTTCAGTTTATAGCATTTATTACATTTTTATATTGTTAATTAGACACAACAACACCTTTAACACCTCGAAGACAACTCGTAGACAGCTCCAAGACACCTTCGAGACAGCTTAACAACACCTTTAACACCTCGAAGACAGCTCCAAGACACCTTCGAGACAGCTTAACAACACCTTTAACACCTCAAAGACAACTCGAAGACAGCTCCAAGACAACTCCGAGACAGCTAAACAACATCTACAAGACAACTCCAAGACATCTCAACAACAACAACAATGGTTGATGTAGCTGAGCATGTTGAAGAAATTTTGAAGCTTAGCGAGGAAATTATTGATGTTTTTGAAAAAGCCTATGTTGAGATTGTTAGAGATCCCAATAAGGCCGAAAAACGTATTTGGATCAAGCATGTAAATACGTCTATTAGGCAAATTCTTAAATTAAACAAAACTATTTTACCTATTGGAACTCAAAGAAAATTGCAAACTCAATTGGGTCATTTAAAAAGAATTAGAGTTTTAATTAAGAAGCTATTAGTTAAAGAACCATTTAAAGCAGGTGCAGGTGCTTCATTGCTTCCTAAAAACCGTAGTCAGAGAATTAAATGGGAGGATATCAAAACGGCTTTTAATAGTCGCATAAGATCTGGCCTGATTATAAACTTGGCGCATAGAGATATTTTGGGATTTCTCAAAGCCGCATTTTACATGTTCAAAAATAGAATTGTAAATGTACTTAAATCATATCCCATGATAAAAGTTAACAGCACCTTTTGTGGCGAGTTTATAATCAGGAAAAAGGACTCAGAGCAAACTGATTTCAAATATTTTAATACTAAAAACGTTATTATTGATGCAGGTACGAATTTGCTTGAGAATTTCATACATCTGTCAAAACTGGTATTCCAACAATAAATTGACATGTCTTGATTGTTGATTTGAACCAATCAGATTGTAATTATGCGATAATTTGCACTAGTGCAAATTATCAGATAATTGCATACTAACTGGTGCGAAAACTGGTGTTTTGACATTTTTTGACAAAAAATTTAAATTTTTGATTTATGAAATTCTCTCATTAAGTACAACTCGTGCAATGGAAATATATTTATAATTTTTGACAAATTTGCACTCATGCGTTTTTAACTGAAAAAGGCACTCGTGCACTACGTGCACTCGTGCTCTTTTTCAACTAAAAATGCATTCGGACAAATTTCCCAAAAATTATCAATAATTTCCATTGCACTAGTTATATTACTATTGAATATTTTAATCAGTATATCAAAGATCAAATACTTGCCGATCTAGAGGAATTTCAGGAAAGGGACTCTGGTTGGGCTTTACATAAAATAGTTTATCTCGAAATTAATATAAATAAATTTCAAATTGGTAACGGTGGCTCATCTTTCATCAGACTACCTGAACAAATTGCAAAAAAATGCGTGTGTTAATGTTAAAAAATATGATGATGATGCTTGTTTTTTCTGGTCTGTAGTTGCTGCTCTTTATCCTGCAAAAATACACGCTGATCGTGTTAATTCTTATCCACATTACAGTACAATACTAAATACAAATGGTTTAGAAATGCCAATGACACTGGCACAAATAAGCATTAAAACTTTTTCACCTCGTTTTTGTGCTGTGGCTGCAGCAGCTTTTTCATACATTTTTCATAATTGATCAAGCTGTTCGTTTTCATAATCAGTCAACATCTTAATGCACGTATACTCTTAACTGCTGCTATTTGATTACTGAAAAGTTTCATGGAACAATTTCGACAATTTAAGGTTTAGAGGTAATGGTAATGGTGGTGGTGGGAGACAAGTACCTGCGCACATTATTCATAACTTATTTCCAGCATCTATCCAACTGTTGAATGATTTGTCAAAACCAAGCCATTTTACAAACACTTTATTGCCCTTTTCACGTAGCACTTTCTCTACAAGGTACACGTCAGGGTTCTTAGTTTTTGGTAATTCTTCTTCGTAAAAAGCTCCTTTTATCGGTCTATCATCCATGTCTTTCAAAAGATACGTTACAGGATCACTAATTTTAACTTGATTAATTTTAAACAATTCAGTTGTCCAATTGGGTGTGTAACCTTTCTCAAAAACATGTTTCGCTTTACTTATGCGTACAACATCACCTACACCAAATTTTGCCACACCGGTTGTTATCTTAATGTGGCTATAGACTGTATTCAATAACGTTTTTTCATGTTTTTTAGTAACATCACAAGGTTTCATTTTAGTTAAACTATGCTTTTGCTCATTATAGGTTTTAATAATATTGGGCAGAACGTCAATCCATTTAAAGGTTCCGTTTAGGCTGAAATATTTAAACAGTTTTTCTTTTATGGTTCGAATAGAACGCTCAACAATTGCAGCTTTTTTATTACTAAAAGTACTATAATGATTTATGATGTTATATTGTTTCATCAAACGTTGAAAATTGGAGTTGTAAAATTCCGTTCCTTGGTCTGAGTTCAAATGTTTGGGGCATCGTTTACTCTCTCGTAAGATAGCAGCGAAAGCTTCAGTGACGTCATCAGCCGACTTTGATTTCAATGGTTTTGCCCACACATACTTTGAAAAACAATCAATAACCATGAGAATATACTTGAAATTTTTATTTGCTTTCATATAAGTGTCCATTTGAGCCAGGTCAGCTTGCCATAAATCGTCGATACCTTTAATAACTGTTCGAAGTCTAGGAAAGTTTTTTCTAATCGGTTTGTGTAGCTCATTTACTAGTTGAACCTTTTCTTTCGACATCCTATCGATGAATGAATGACTGCTGCGTAAAAACCAGCTCAAAGTTCACTCTTTATTGATTTAACAGTATTATTGGTCTTCTTCTCAGATGGTTTTCCTGTGACGCTTTTTGAGATAAAATCTTTAATTTTTTCATCAATTATTTGAATTAACTGCCCTTTAGGAACTAGATCGCCATCATTTATAGCCTTGGAAGACTTTACTATTCTCTTGTCCCCAATACTTATATATGAAGGCGTTATATTAAACTGCTTATGCTACTCCTCTAAAGCTAACATTTTCGTTAGATGTTTTTTATACTGCTCCTCTAAAGCTACTATTTTACAGCCTAATTTTGACAAGTGACTATCTACATAGTCTTTGGTGGAAGCGTCACTTTTCTCCGTAGGCAATTTCAAGTTGCAAATTTTCAAATGCTGCACATCAATGTTCCCATCTTGTGTGTGAGGAAGCGAAGACGATGGCCTAGTGTAAGGAAGTTTTATTCTCCTAAATGCATCTGAATGACGACCGAATTTAACGAGACTCATTTTAGAACTAACACTAAAATTTCATACCATCTTTAATTTATAACTTTTGCTTCTCGAAGTTCCTCAATAATCGATAAAATTTCATTATTATGTGATGTATTTCCAGCTTGTTTAGATGCATATAAAAGTCTTAATCTATCCACCAGTTCATTAACATCATCCCAATAGACGTATTCTACAGGCTTGTCACTATACAAGATTTTATCGAAACCGCTGCCTTTAAAGGAGGATGATGCTGAAAATGATCTGATTTTTGATTCAGGACCCAATAATGGTTTGACAAGTTGCGTATATTTGTAACCGCCATTCCCTTTCAGTCTAC